CCTGCCATGTTTGACATGTAGATTTCTTTATCTGGTTTGCTGCTGTGTGCTTGAAAGCAAGCTCAGCACCCCAGAGAATCTTAACTGAGGGTGCTTTGTCACCCCCTGCACAGGAATCTGATGCCTCTACAATTTTGGTTGTCACAGCTTATGTGGGGATTGGGGCTGGCATTTAGTTTGTTCAAGGCAATGATGCTGCTAAATTCCCAATAGCCTAGAGGACAAACTCTCATAAGAGTTATTTTGCCCTGATGTCAGTACTGCTGAAGTTGGGAAGCTCTGGACTAAAGGCAGGCAGCATGTCCCTGCTGAGTCTATTCTTTTTTAAAATAGATGCTCAGAAATGCATAAAACATTTTAATCTATATGCTATTGACCCAAATCTTTTCCTGCAGCCAAATCTGTTAAGGAACCTGTACAAGAATCTATGTATTTTTGGTTTGTTCTATTGTCATCCTGAGCAGCACTGGCCTCTATAATAAGAGAATGGCAGTAGAATAGATCAATGTGTATTATACACTAGGCGGTTTTGAGTTAAGAAGAGAAATAGTTGTCTACAGATAAAGAAGTAGTGAAGACGATCATCGGCTTGTGTCTCTTCCACAGGGGAGGGACGACCAGCTGTCAAATGCAGTTTCTCTCCAGATGTGTGCATGGAATAATGGATGGAAATAACTAGTTATAGAAAACCCTTGAGTTTTTTTTTATCAGCCTCAAATAGCCCACAAATTGTTTCTCACTGGATCTAATATGCCATCTGTTAAGCATTCATCCCGTTATTTCCTCAGTGTTTTTATGGTGACTTGCTTTTTCCTCTTGTCATTGTAACCAGTGGGATAATTGATTTCAGACGTGCTTTGCTAATACCTTTCCCTTTAACAAACCAACCAACTATTTGGTGGGTTACTTCTCTCATCCTGAATATGCTGGGGAGTGATGTGTCTCTATTTGCCTTAGTCTGTATGCAGGAATGCAGACACACTTCTAAGTGCATCAAACAGGAAAAATGTTTAACTTGAGTGATTAGAGGGTTATGAAGCCATTGCAGGGCTAGAAGTAAAGGCCAAGTCTGCCAGTGGCCACTGTTGCCTCTACAGTGTTCTGTACAGGGTCTTCCCAGGAGAATGCTTGGAAGTTGGTGGCAGCATGTTGTACCTACTGTCCACAGATAGACATGGGCCCCACTAATGCTGCCTCAGTGAATAGATGATATCTCCATCTCTTCAGCTTTCTAAGGCCCTATGAGTATTTCTTGTTGACAATCTGATTTAAAGTCAGGCCCAGTAGGGTTTTCACAATGCAGTTCTGAAGCTTCTCAGGGAAAAATGGGATGGGTTGGGATGGTAGGGACTTAGCCACAAACTCTGGAAGAAGGAATATAAGACCCAGAATACAAAAGTTCGTATACATTTTTGGCAAAAAAGAACATTCTACAGATCTGCTATTAGAATCATTACCTGATTTTATTTGTGTGTCCCTGGTAGGGAAATCTAGATTCCTTGCATTTTGCTTCTGATTTTCTTCAAGTTGTGGTGATGCTTAATAAACAAGAAAGGATTCAGTACTATACATATACAGTACAGGAGCTAATGTATGCTGTGAAACTGTAGTTCAGTGAGCTCCCAGAGTGTGCAGTCTGGAAAAAGAGTGCAGAATTCACTGGTGCACATTGGGAAAGCCAGTGTTCTGCAAACAGTTGTGCATGACTCAGCTCATCGTGTAGATTTTTGGGTGTGTGTTTGTGCTGAAAAGAACCACCTACAGTTCTTTGTTAAAATGATGCATGTGACTTGTGACGAGCCACTAAGTTATACTGAGAAATTAGCTACAACTAGGAAAGGAAGTAGTTTCAGAAAGAGGAAGCCTATAGACATGTGACATATTGTTTTGTGGTCTTGGGAGAATTGTGATGTCCTGTTATCATATTAAGCTTTTAGTGTAGTTCGCAGGCTTTTGAAGGCAGAATTTGATCTGTTCTCTATGCTAGTCCCTGGCACAGCAAAACCCATTAGAGCTGTGTCCTGCGGCACTTCTAAAATCCTAAATCTTGAGTTGGAAGTTTCTGATGATATTTAATATTTCTTCTATCTAAAAAATGATAAGGGAGACATACTATCTCACTTTATTTATTTCTTGAATGCGGTCATTTGGAAGGGACGAGAGAAGAAATGCCATTAGCCAGAGCAGCATGGGAGGTCAGTGGTTTTGCATTGAGGCTTTGCTGGGATACCGCTAATGGGTCAGGGCTACCTGTAGAAGGAGCTGCCGGCCACTTCCCACCACCCAGCTCCCGGCCACCGGCTAGCTTTACCCAAAATAATTACATGGAAACTGCATTCATTTAAACACTGCCTGGCCCATTAGTTTCAGCTTCTTCTTGGCTAACTCTCACATTTTGACTAACCCATATCTAATAATCTGTGTAGCACCACGAGATGGTGGCTTACCGGGAAAGATTCTAGCCTACATCTGTCTCAGGTCGGAGAGTCATGGCTTCTGACTCACTTCCCTTCTTCCCAACATTATGTTCTGTCTACTCTGCCTATCTAAGCTGCTGTCCTATCAAATGCCAAGGCAGTTTCTTTATTAACCAATGAAAGTAACACATAGACAGATGACCCTCCTACATCAGCTGGCTGGGTCTTTTGTTGGCTCATCCGAAGGTAGACCTGGAAATACAGATTCACATTTACATGATTCATTTAGCAAATATTTGCAGGCGAAAACAGCAGCAGAATGGGAGAAACTAGACCAAGATGGGAAAGAGCTGAGGGGAGAATGTGATTTCAGAAGCCAGTGTGGAAGCAGTCTGATCCTGTGAGCAACCTGCTAGTGTAAATTATACCTTTGAGCTTGTTCTGAACTGAAGTGAAGATGCTGGGCTCTCATGATCCCGCCACAGTCAATCATTGTCTGAGAGTTGCCTGTAAGGAGGGAGCGCTCCAAATGACAGAAGGGAGATCAACAGCCCAGAATGAGCTGTGATTATACATGGGCCTTCAGATTTTCTGGTGCTGGCAATTAGAGAAGATAAGACTCTAGAAATGGCTGTAGGAACAAGACCGGAACTATGGTATTATCAATGGACATGTTAATGTGGAAGGGAAAAGAATTGTTCCGCCCCTAGACAAAGATCTAGAGTAACTAATGACTGCTGGGAGAAGGAGAATTAGCTTCTGAAACTGAATAACATGGTGGGGAGGGCTTCACAGGAAGCTGCAAATTGTCTCTAGAACAAGGCTGGCAAGCTTTCTTCCAAAGGCCTAGCTCAAATATTTGCGACTTTGTGGGCCCCAGGGTTTTTGTTTCAGTGACTCAGCTCAGAAGCTGCAGCACAGATGCAGTTATAGATAATAGGTAAATGAATGAGTATGGCTGTGTTCCAGCATAATTTCCTTTATGAAAACAGGTAGAAGTGGCCTGAAATTGGTCCTTAGGCCACAGTTTGCCAGTTGTTGCTCTAGACTGGCGCTCACACTGATTTTCCCTTTATCTATTCCCTGCATGCTGCAAAACAAAGAAGGTCATCATTAGTACCTCTGTCGATCAAGCGGATGACTATGATGTGATGTGTCTTAAATTATTCTGGACCTCCTGCCTCTGATCTTTCTGGTGTTCTGGCCATCACTCACAGAGCTGCAAGGATCATCATCCTGATGCATGACTCATCTCTTTTCACTCCCCTTGGAAATATTTAACCCTCACTTATCTGAAAAACCACAACAACAATAAAAAGACTTGTTAGCATGGCAGTGGGAGTTTCCATGAATAATCCATGAATTTCCTATCTACCTGTTTTTCATATTAATGTATTATAGGATCACTTTGTACATATTCATGAATTACACCAGGATGTTTTGACATCAGTATACATTGTAAAATGGCTAATAGAAATTCATCGGCATATACAATACCTTATGTATTTATCACTTTGGGTGGTGAAAACATGAAAAATCGACACACTCAACTGACCTCGTGGATCAATGTGGGCTTCTGAGCATTGCAGCCGCAGGTCATTTCACAGCTCCGTTTTACCATGTGCTCCTCTATTCTTTCCGTGGTTCTTGTCTTTCTGGGTCTAGGTTATCTCAGTTACCACAATGATCCCCGATTTTATCACCCTGTTGTAGTAGCTGAATATTATCCCATTGTTGTATGTGTTTACCTACACTACGCTTTGTCTACACACATCAGTCAGTAGGTCATCTTTGTTTCTTGGTTGCTACACATAGTGCTGCTATGATCATGGGAGTCCAGATGGCTCTTTGATATACTGATTTCATTTGGAGAGAAGGGTACCTATTATCTATGGCTTCACCCAGTAGAGGAATTGCTGGATCTCACAGTAATACTGGTTTTAGTTTTTGAGCAGTCTGTTTTCCACAGTGGCAGGTAAGTATTCTTTAGTTCTTCAGATCCCTACTAACTCTTCTTTATAATTGCCAGCTAAGCACATTGGAATAATATTTCATTGTGGTTTCAATTTGCATTTCCCTTGTGATTAGTGATATTGAAATATTCCCTTTTACATACCTGCTGCACATGTATATATGAGAAACAAAATTTTAGGTTCTTTTTAGGGGGAATTGAGACAGGGGTTCTCTGTAGCTTTAGAGCCTCTCCTGGAACTTGCTCTGTAGACCAGGCTGGCCTCGAACTCACAGAGATCCTCCTGCCCCTGCCTCCCGTGCGCCACCACCACCCAGCTCAGGTTCTTTAAAGAACTTGTTTTCTTGCTATAGATTTTGAAAATGTGTTTCAGACATTCGCGTTTGTCAGCTATGCTCACGATCTTTTATTGTCTATGCTATACTCGCTGCATTTGCAGCGCATTGTGGATGGGTGGTAAGTCTTTTGTTTTATCATTTACAGTGCCTTGCATATAGAAGACATTCAGTCAATGGAGTTTTCAGATGAAGTCTGAACCCCTATAATCAGTGATTACTGATGATTTAAGTGAGGAAACTCTGACATCATATCTCTCATTTTTCTTTTTATAGGCAAGAGCTGTTTTGGCAAAAGTTGGCTATCCAGAATTTATAATGAATGATACTCATGTTAATGAAGACCTCAAGGCAGTAAGTGCTAAATTTGCTGTATTTTTCTTGGCAGGTTTTACTGGCCTTGTGCCTATTAACTAACCCAAGTCCAAGCAATTAAACCTGGTGGTGCCAGAAAGTACCAACTTTTGATTAATTCCTTGGCTATATATGAGCCTGAGTTTGCCAGGCCTATCTCAAGATTTAGTGCAGATTCCAAATACAGGAAGTGTCAGAGAGCTGAGTGGACATCGTAAAGCAAATGGAAATAATTCACCAAATTGAGTGTCTTACAATTAGTGGATGTGTTCTAATGGTGAATGCGTCACATTTGTTGCTAAATATTTTTTATTTTCTTCATCCATATTAAATGGATGGACATAAATCTGCCTGTTGAGAGTTAACTTCATTAAACTTTATGACTGGTTTGGCAAATTAAGTGCATGTATGTATGACTCTGTAATTTATCGTACATTGGACCGTATATTGGCAGTAAGTTACTGATGAGGAATGGTAATAATTCTTTTTTATTCTAGTGTTTTGAGATCCATATTTTTCATTATAGCCCTTTCTAATGATGACTACTGCTATTTCTGTTCCAATAAATAGTTCAGAAGACCTTTTCTCCTTCCCAGAAAAGCCCTGCTTTCACAATTCACTGAAATTTCTTGTTTTTTAAAAATATATGTATTTTATGTGCATGGGTGTTTCATCTGCATGTGTGTCTGGCCACAGAGACCAGAAGAGGGCATTGTATCTCCTAGAACTGGAGTTACAGATGGTTATGAGCCACTCAATGTGGGTGTTGAGAATCAAACCCAGGTTGTCTAGAAGAGAAGCTTAGTGTTCTTAACCCCTGAGCCATCTCTCTAGCTCAAGCACTGGACCTTCCTTTAAACAGTAGTCTTGAAATACTTTTCATAACTATGGCTCATAGGTCTAGATTTTTGTTAAACCTGTGGTTTGGCATTTGGCCTATCTGTAAATAGTGCTAGCTTTGTGATTGACTATCAGAATTTTATAAGACCCTTTACATGTGAGATGAAGCCTGAATTTAAAAGTTTCTTTATTTCAGTCATCAAGAAGGTGTTACTTGTGCTGATTAAATTGAACACTTTCTACTCACATTTTCCCCTAGGTGTGATCTGATGCTTTTGAACAGGTTTGATATTAACTTCATGTTCAGAAGGAAATAGCATTTATCATATCTCAGAGCTAGTGTGGAAGAAAGTCACCTCACATTCTGTTTGTATCCATTAGATGTCAATAGTTAAAATAGCATTAAAAGAACGAGTATTTCATACCACTTATTGCATGTCAAAAATGAAAGTAAGTGTAGAAGTTATAAAAATATTCACCCAGCTTAATTCAAGAAACATGGAAATAAATGCTTACTTCTCATTAAAAAATTTTTGTAATATATAAGTATTTGGAGAACTTTTGAAAGATCTCAGTGATTTGAAGATAATAGATGTCTTAGTTAGGGTTTTTATTGTTGTGAAGAGACACCATGACCATGGCGACTCTTATAATGAAAGCATTTAATTGTGGTGGCTTGCTTACAGTTCAGATGCTCAATCAATCATGGCGGGGAGCATGGCCACATACAGGCAGGCATGGTGCTGAAGAAATAGCTGAGTGTCTTATATCTTGCAGGAGCAGGAGACTTACTGGTTGTCACACTGAGACCTCAAAGCCTGCCCCCATAGTGACACACTTCCTCCAACACCTACTCCAAAAAGGTCAAACCTTCTAATAATAATGCCAATTCCTTTGGGGACCATTTTCTTTCAAATCACCACAATAGAATGCATTGAAACAGCCTGATGCAATATTATTGGTGTTCATGATTCTAAATTATTTTCTAGGTAATAAAAACATTGTGCCTTCATTGGGGGGGTGAGTCTTTCTACATTTGTCTTCAAAATCTGGCCTCCCCCAAATTGATGATACTGCTCCAGAAGAAAATAGTTGTGCTAACATCTTACTTAACAGTTTATCTTCTATACTATTTTAATGGTTCTGAACATTTTTTAAAACTTTATTTTCATTTTTATGTGCATTGGTGTTTTGCCTGCATGTATGTCTATATGATGGTGTCAGATGCCCTAGAACTGGAGTTACAGTTGTGAGCTGCCATGTGGGTGTTGGGAATTGAACCCAGGTTCTCTGGAAGAACAGCCAGTGCTCTTAACCACTGAGCCATCTCTCCAGTCCCAATTCTGAACATTTTATTATTATGATAATGAAATGTTGAAATACTTGGCACTGAAATGTACACTATGTTGTTATCCCTGTCTTTCCTGATCCTATGAAGTCAATGAATTACGAAGATCTTGGAGCAAAGGATGTGAGGAGTGAAAAAATTTGGGTGATCTTTTCAGTGCCCACATAGAGTATTGGATCCAGGGCTACAGTAGGGGATCAGAAAGCACTGACTTCAGTCAAAGAAGGGTGTTATTCTCTAAAGCAGTGGGTGTCTCAAGCCTGGCAGCAGCAGGTGGGAGACCATGGTGGACCAGAGGCCTGTGGGGGGGGGGTTGGTGGGTGACCCAAGGCCGTGACAGGTCCCCTTGGCAGGTGGGAGACCGAGGTAGGTGAGAGACAAACAGAAATGCCATGCAGAGAGAGTTTGGGTATAGAGTTTATTTAGTGGGTTATAGAAGGGAATGGGAAGAGGGAGAGGGAGAGAGAGAGAGAGGCAGCAGCCATCTCTTCAGAGGAGGGATGGGAAGCTAGAGAAAGCTCTGGCTGGAAAAAGAGGCAGAAGATCCACTTGCCTCAGAGGAAGGGGAGAGTGGGCGGGGCTTGTCTCCTAAGAGGACAGGGTAACCAGGTGACAGGACAGATCAAAGGGGATCTCAGGGACATCTATCTGATCAGGAAGCTGTGCTGGTAGGACAGAGGAGTCCATTTGGGAGACTTGGTGGGGGGTATTTATTGAGGGTGGATGAACGAAATGTTGTCTAGAGGTTAACATCATTTAACCTTGTACAGACTTTACCTATGTTCCCATTGGCTATTTGGGTATTTCTTTAATGTATGTAATTTTTAAATTTAAATACATTGTGATCATATTCTTCCCTTCTCCCAAGTCTGTCCATACCATCTCCCTCCCATCCAACTTTAAGTTCTTTCTCAAAAAACCAAACAGGAACCCAATACACTCCAAAAAACAAGAAAACAATAAAACAGCACCCATAAAGAAAAAAAAGGGCCAAAACCAAAAGTAAATACACAAAAAACCTGTGGTGTCCATTATATCTTGGTCAACTACTCTTGAGAATGGGATCTACCCTGAAGTGATTGATATACCCAGTGTCTCTCCATTAGAGAAACCTGATCTCCCCGGTCCCAGCAGGTATAAATGACAGTTCTGTAGTTTACTCTAGTTGTTAAGTTTTCGTTTGTTCATTACTTCATTTTTTTAATCCCCAGAAGTTTGTTTATTTTTTTAAATCATTTTTATTGAGATATATGTTTTTATTCCTTAATTTTTAAAAGATAAGATAAATTAACAGAAGTAAAAGAACCCAAGAGAAGGCACAATTATGAGACCCACTCATCCACACACTCAGGAATCGCACAAAAACACTAAACTGGAAGCTTTAATATGAGCACATGGGGCCTGGTGCAGGTCTGTGTGGGCCCTATGCCTCTTCTTCAGTCTCTGTGAGTTCGCAGGAGCTTTGTTTGAAAGAGACCCCCTCCTGAACTGTGGGAGCTTCCTCCCAGGCTCCGGATTAGGCACAGACTACAACCTGCTTTCACAGTGAGATCCTTTATTAGGTGTGGAAGAAAAGTTAAAGTGGCTGCTTTCTGGCTCAGGCAGCAAAAGAGCAGCAGATGACCTTGCAGGTGTAATTTTTAAGAGGAGAAGAAGGGGAGGTCTCTGTTAGAATGGGCTGGGGTGCAGTGGCAAAGGAAATAGGAGATGAGGAAGAAAGGGAAGGGGCATTTGTCCCAGAGGTACAAAGGACTACCTCTGGATAGAGGAGACAGATGTGGCACACAGACAAATGCAGTTTGTAAACTCTGTGTTAGGATGAGGTGTTTAATTTTAATTGGAAACGTTAATTAGGTGAGCCAAAGGGCCTTCTGATTGCTGGACATTGGTAGTCAGCCTCAGGAGGAAGAAGTGGCCAAATAAGGGAACAGACTTCGGTGGCTAGCTTTAGGAACCCAATTTTTAATGGGTTTTAGGAAGGTAGAGGGAATGGGAGAGAAAGGCAAAGCCTGCCAGAGCCACATGAGTGGGCTAGTACCCTTCACTGATGATGTTGATTTAGAGGTCCCTGTTCTTTTGGTGCCCTTTGCCCCATCTTATACTCTTTTCGCCTCTTCTTTCATGGGGTTCCCTGAGCTTTGATGGGAAGGATCTGAGAAGATGAGATTGTATGAATTTAAAAGCACCTACGTAGCTCAATGTCTGACACATAGTAGGATCCCTATAAAAAGTAATGTTATGGGGGCTGGAAAGATGGCTTGGTGGTTAAGGACACTGGCTGCTCTTTCAGAGGATTGGTTTCTAATCCCTCACCCATGTGGTGGGTCACAAAATTCTGTAGCTCAATTCCAAGAGATTTGACATGCTCTTCTGGCTTCCTTTGGCATGGGCACACACAAGGTGCACATACATACATGTAGGCCAAATACCCATATGCCTAACATTTTGAAAAGATATTTCTGTGGGTCAAAATGAGAACTGCTGCTACTAAGAATACCATCTCTGGGGTACAAAGTACTCTAGGAGGAGATCCTGGTTACTTACCTGCATAATTCTGTGTGGTTGGTGAGTATCCTAAATCAGGATACGGGAGGTTAATGGTTATGAGCATGAACCCAGGAATGCTTAAAGTAAAATTCACATGCTTTCTATTACTACTGTGGGACCCGAAGCAGATTATGTATCTTCCTGTTCCTCAATTTCATTATCTGCAAAATGAATGATAGTAATCTTTTCCATACAGGATTGTCATAAGGATCAAATAACATGTTCAAAGCCTGCACTGGCACATAAACACAAACATAAGCATTAG